CCCTGACATATTTATATTACACCTATCGGATACCTATCGGGCACCTATCGGATATCTATTGGTCCTCCCGATAGCTATCCGATTGGTCCCTGATATATGCCTGAAATATGGATTTCGATCTGTGATGTGCATGGTATGTCCCTAATATCGAACATATATTAGGTACCCGATATGTGTATTATTTATCAATTTTCAACCAGTGCATGTTTCTTTCAATAGTAAAGAACATGTTTTAATTATATATTATATTTTTTTTCAAAAATTATTCTATTTTATATTTGAAAAAAGAAAGATATTAATAAAAAAACCAAAGCCTTGACATATAAATTTGCTTCTTAATTTGACCTATAATAGATAGTGTAAAATAAGAGAAACAATTTTAATAAAATTTAAAAATATCTGTAAAGACATTGAATATCAAATGGTTTTAGATTTATTAGATAAATTATTTCAGCAACTTTGAATATTTATACTATTTTATTTAGATCTGATTCATTTAATAAATATATAAAAACTATTTTTCGAATTTAGATTTTTGCCCTTTGCTGGAAAAGACATAATTATAATAAAGTACTTCTAGTATTTCTTTCTGATATTTTTTATTAGGAGGATATAAATCACCCATTTATAAAAATTATAAAATTATTTTTAATAAATTTCAATAATTATTATATTGAAAATTATCACAGTAAGATACAAGCATATATAAATACAAATAATAATGTAGATAATATTATAAAACAAGTCTTTATAATAGGTATTATTATAAAATTATTTATAATTATCAATTATAATATAATAAATATTTAGTTTTTATATTTTATTAGATGAACAAAACCAATGTGAAATTAAAAACATTTTTGAAAGAACAAAAATATATCCTTATAAACTATCATCTTTAAACCTTATGGAAAAAACATCTCTATTTTTGTTAGAATATTTTCAAGAAATTTTTAAAAATTCTGAAAAAAGTAAATTACACAAAACAAAAAAAAATAGAATATAAATTAATTACATTAGGTATTACTGTTGATTTTCAGTGTCTCTCTACTGGATTTAGTACTAGGCATACCTCTATCACCAAATACTTGTGATCACTGTTACAAAAAATTTAATAATGACAAAGTATTAACTTGTAAATATGGATATTACTACAAATGTTATCAAATACTTGAATATGGTTGTTATTATTGTGAAGAATATTATAAAAGAAGAATTTACAGTAATGTGAAATCATTTTTAAAAAGATTGAAAAAGGGACCAAATATTCTTACTTCTGAAAAAAGAGAAGAAAGAAAGAATATTTTAGTAGAAGAAAATGAAATAATAAAAGAAATTGAAATAAATGAAAGTCAATAAGTACATGAAAAATTTTTAAGATCACTTAACTATATTAATGCATGGTAATATAAGCACTTGACCTTAACAAAGGTAAATTTGTTGTAGTGAGGATATTTTTGCTATATCTATATTGAGTATTATAATATTAATAATAATAAATAATAATAATAAATAATAATAGAAAATTAAAAAATGTATAGTTTCATTTTATTCTATACTTTAAAACATTAAAAATATTAAAAATTAAACTTTACTTACAACGGGAATAGTTTTCTATATAGCCTATATAGTCTATTGTTATAAAAAATACTTCTAAACAAACTTTTTGATAAATTGGATCAAATTGGATCAGGCTAGTGAACATAATGAGCAAGCTTCAAAGAATATATTTGCAAAGTTTCACCATTATTCATTTAGCCATTTTGTGACTTATCATATGAGCAATCATTATTTAATTGATCTTAATTGTAAAACGCATATAAATAATTGTGTGTAGATCAAAATCTAGACTTTCCCTACGCTTATTATTGTAAAGTAAATATAAATAGTCGTGTAACATGGCGATCAAATCTTAACCGTCAAAATTTGGTATAAAAATAAAAATTGATTCCACGTGATGTTGACCTCGATGCATTATAATCAGCTTCTTTGAGAGCTAAATAGTGCATGCAAGCACATTTAGCAATATTACCTGCTTCACCTTATTCAACACCAACTAACATGTCTGATTCGAACGCTTATCTAAACAGTATTTCTTATGGCTCCCCGCATTCTCCAGTAACTAAACTCCCAGATTATCTTGCCAATACAAATTTTGCGGAAATGTATTACGAAGCGCATGAGATACTCGAAAGCGTGACTTTTCCAACAGAATGGAACGTTGACGATAGAAGTACTTATTTGAGCGTAGATTCAGACAAACTTAAAGTAAACTATATAGGTGAGATATTATACTTAAAATTCCATAATTTCATAAATTTTTTTTAATAAAGATAATAAAAAATAGAAAATGTCATTTACATTTAATAAAATTTTTTAAACACGTATATAAAATTCTGGAGCTAGCTTTATATAAATAATTCCATTATCTTTTGAACGCAAAAAGGTCCAGGCATGAATGATTCGGAAACAGCAGCTATTCGTGCTAATCATTCAATGCCCCCACAATGTGGATTATTCTATTTCGAAATTGACATTATAAATAAAGGAGAGGAAGGGTATTAAATTTGATTTTGTTATTTTTTCACGTTATTATAAATTTATTAAAAATTGATTAATTTATATTTTTTTTTAGATCTATTGGTATTGGATTTTGCACAAAGCAAACCCCTTTAAATAGATTACCTGGTAAATATGATTTTATAATATCAATATTTCTAGTTAAAATAATAAATAACTAGATTATTTGTAATTATATATATTTAGGCTGGGAAGATGACTCTCGGGGTTATCATGGAGATGATGGGCTTGCATTTTGTTCAGGAGTTAGTAGTCCATATGGACCAAAATTCACAACAGGAGATACCATAGGATGTTGTTTAAATTTTAGAGATGGTACAGCATTTTATACTAAGAACGGACAACATTTGGGTAATTGGTTATTTGAATAACATTCAACCAGTTTGTTTCTTTTAATATAACTTCACATCTTTCATTTTGATATATTTATTTATTAAAGGTATAGCGTTCCGAGATTTGAAAGGAGTTCTTTATCCTTCCATTGGATTAAGAACTCGGGGTGAATCTATTGAAACTAATTTCGGGCATAAGAAATTTAAATTTGCGATCGAACATTATATGAAGGTAATAAATATAATTTTTAATTTATTATGAAAATTTCATAGATGAAAATTAAAGAAATTTATTATACAGGACGTTTGCAAGCCACGCCGGAAGCAAATCTCACTGACAACAAATTTATTTAATATGTCGATCCAGGAGAAATGATGTTTCTTTATCCCAATAGTTTAATTCAACTTGTTGAATGTACTTTGGTAAGTAATAGGTAAAGTAATTTATTTAAATAATGTTATTTATTGTTTATTTATCTATATATAAATATATAAATCATATGGGCGGATGTTTGACTAATTTCAAAATCTAAAAAAGGAAATGCCTATCAATTTTCCTTTTTTGACCACAAATAAATCAAATCAATCTGTCATATGTATATGTTGTTGTAAACTATGAATTCAGCAAACATTTACAAATATTATTTATTTTCATTACTATTATTACTATTGTTATTTATTTTTATTTTTTTTTACATTGGTTTGCTTGGTAATTGTGTCAAAAATCTTAAATCGTTTTTTAATTTTAGTGTCTGGTGGAAATCATCAGGATGTGCTGGATTTGGGGATCGTCTAAAGCGGAGTTAAATCATGTGAGTCTCGTGATATATTATTGATGGCCGTGATTGGTCAGGGCAAAAATTAATGATAAGTTAAAGTGATGAATTTAAGGCAAATGGATTTGATAAATTTAAATGTTAAAGTGATAAATTTAAGATAGATGAATTTGATAAATTTAAGTAATTTAAGAATAAATTTAATAAGCTGAGTAATAAATTTTTCATTTATTATTTATTAAAAAAAAAAAATAATAAAATCTTTTTATTTTATTTATCAATTTTTAAAAATATTAAATTTAAAGTGTAAATATAAAAGTCTCTGTTTTTTCAACATTACCCATCTCTTCAATACTTCAGTATTTATTTCAAACTTTTTCAGTTAATTCTATTACAGTTAATTTTTGATTTTCAGCTTCTTTCTATTGTTTTGTTTAAATAAATTTTATTACTGATTCACAATTTTCATATATTTCATAACCACATTCCTCAAACATTTCTTGAAACTCTTTTATATATTAACAGTTAATAATTTGACACTTCCGTATGTATGTTCGTGAAAAATATATTTATATAGAATACTGGTCAAAAATTGATAAATCATATACATATTGGATACCTGATATGTGCATAGTACATCTCTAATATCAGGTGTATATTGGATATCTGATAGGTGTAGAAAATATTTTATATATATATCGAGTGTCCAATAAATATAAAAAATATTTTCTATACCTATCAGGTATTCGATATACAATGTCTGATATTAGGAATGTTGTTATAGAATGAAAATATTATGATAATATAATACTAAAAACACCTGTAACAATTAATAATAACTTTTTAAAAGAATGTTTAAAATTTAATTAGATAGTAATACTTTAATAATTTTTTTTTAACTAATATTTATAGTCTGTAATATATATTAATTAGCTACGAAATAGTAATACAAGATCACGTGATCACGTGATATTTAATTACACAAACATAACTATCAAATCATAACATTAATTATTATCACTTAACATTATTTAACAATAATTATTAATATATAATATTAATTAATATTAGATATATTTAGTAAAAAAAAATAGTAACCAATAATAATAGTACACATTGATGGCACAGTAATGAAGATCATTAGATTTAGATATAAAAAGGAACTAAAATTATCTTGTCCCTCCTTAGTTTACAATTTTATAATTTTGAATTTTAATAATTTGTAACTTATTTGAAATTGATAAATTTAATTTTATAATTTGTAACTCCAAGATAAATACTTGTAAAATTATCCTGTAATTGAATTAATAAAACAATAAATATTAAAAATATAAATATAAATTATAAAAATAATTATTAAATAATACAATATGTAGTTAATAAAGGAATAATGAATGTTGTGAGATTAAATACTTAATTGTATAATTGTATAATATTATTATTCCTGAGTTAATGAAATTAATTACAAACTATTATAATAAACTCTGGACTTGGAATAGTAATTAACCTGGATAATTGGAGATAATATTCAAAGTTGATGAAACTAAAAAAATAATTAATGGACGGATATTAACACTAAGGATGATGATGAATTTGAAAAAATATTAGAATAAATTGGATGAAAAGTCTGATTCCCTTTCTAAAATAATTGAATCAGTAATGCCTTCTAAAATAATGAAACAACAGTCTTATCTTTGGGAAAAGACTATAAACTTCTTAAAAGAACTATTAAGTCACTTTATTAGGTTGTTCTTGAGAAAATCAGAAACCACTGATGACAACATACCATGCACATATTGAGTATCTGATATGTATATAATTTATCAATTTATAACCAGTGAAAGTAAATATTAATTTTGAAATAGATAGTAGTAATTAAAACTAGTGAAAATAATATAATTATTTTATTTTCACTTAATCTAGGTTATTCCTACTTGGGTATGTGTCATGATAACAAAAATATGACACCATCGTCAGTGATGTAATGACAGAAATATGATACCATTGTCAATATATTAATATATATTTTATGCCATATTTTTGACAACAAAAATATAATACTATCGTTAGGTGTAAATATACGTGTTGCCCAAATCTCAAATCATTTGGGATTTGGGACGCCAAAATTCCAAATTACTAGTATTTGGAATTTGGGATTTGAGATTTCAGCAAAAAATACTAATTATAATTTGGGATTTGGGATTTGGGATTTCGGCATTTGGGATTTCAGCATTTGGATTTTGAA